ACTAAAATGTCCTTGATAAATAAAATACTCAAATCTTAAATTGCAGCGGGAAAATTTTTCATAAATAAAATGCTGAAAACACACACTTGCGGATCAGAGCAAAGCCCTAACACGTGGGTAAATTAAACTCAAACTTTAAATCTCAATCTGATCTCCAGTCTATATACTCATAATCATAATAGTAAATAACTAATAATCTCTAACGTTGATGTTACTAACAACATTGACGAAACATCCGTTGTGACGCTTATACTGCCCTCCTCTAGCTGTCTGCCCTCGAACTCGATGCTCACTAACTGCTCCTCTAGCTCTTCAAACTGGTGAGTGAGATGGGGTCAGTCTACGCCCTTACGTTGACATCTTATTAATACTTGATCACTTTACTTAACTGAGTGGAAGTTGTTTTGTACTTCCACTATTAATACTTGATCACTCTTAAAACTGTATGGGAGTTACTGTTACTCCATTCTTAAATCTCAAAGCTTGACTTAAATACTTGACCGACACGGGGATCCCTCACTATCTAGTCCGATTGCCAACTCATACGTATGAGAAGTCATCCAGGCTTTCCTTAAACTTAAACTTAGTTAGGGGAGTCGTAACGATTCATCCCCCTAACATCTTAAACTTATCGTGGTGGCTCTTCACCACGATTCTCAAGAGCATAACTGCTGCTCATCTTAAAAGTCTCAAGAGCATAATTGCTGCTCTATCTCAAAATGTCTCAAATGGCAACGGACTGGCGCTAGTGACTAAAAACACTTAAAACGACTTCACCTTCTTGAAGGTGAGTTACTTCTTAAAAAGAACTTGTTTCTTTAACCTAAACTTACTTGTAAGTAAAGCACACAACAACATAAAACTGGAAGCATAACTCACACAAATCATATGACATCATATAAGCATACAAAGGCAAGTACGGCACATAGCAGTCAAATCTCAAAAACTTAAATACCGTAAGGCGTAGAATTTACCCCTTTACACTCACCTTATTTCAAAGTCGATTGTCCTTTAAATTCAGGTCAAAGTCGATTAAATCCTCCTGGAGATGGACGATTTTACTTTGTGAACTTTTAGTTCTGGACCAAAGACGCCCTCTGATTGGCCAATGTTCTATGATCCTCGTACGTAGAGCATTATCCAAACACACACAATTAGTGCAAAAGAGAATCAATTGATTATCCCTACCTAATCCACTTTGTACGCAAATAAGTGTCTTTCTGATAGCACAAGGAGCCAATCGCCATCATCACCTCAACCCAACACTTTTTTGACTCATCAATATTTTGAATCTCCCGCTCTCATCGTTAACAGCTCATGGAATTAAAGATCTCAACAATACAAAAGGGAAAACTCAAACTGGCTTCTGGCAACCAAATTTCATGATACCTCAACAAGTATATTATATACCTTTAAGAATGAACACCCTGAACCACTTGCTTTTGTTTCATCACCGATGTGTTGTGAATGCGCTGTTGCCGCTCGGTCACCTCCTAGACCATCGCTCGTCGTCGCAATCATTTCTCTCAAAGAATGGATTGCTACCGCTTCTATTCACATCATTTTTTTTGTCGACCACCATCATCATCATCACCACTGCCTATCATTTTCGATCTTGGATTCTAGGTGACGATCCGTCATCTGTCCAGCCAGTCGTTCCCGGTTGTGGGCTTGTGGCCAGCCGACTTCGTTGAGTCTTCTGCTTGACGCCATCTTTCTGGTTCGCGGTGTGATGGCGGCGGGATTGAGAAGGAAAAGGTATGTGAATTGGTTGGGGTGATCAGATGCTATTGTGGCTAGGGCAGGGGTTTTGGGTTTTCTCTCGGGGAGATAAAAGCACAAGAGGTGGAGATAAACGAACTCTCAAAGGTAACGTGCGACCAGGTTACATCACGGTTAATTAGGCTTAATTAAGATCAATTACTGGGGTTAACGAGTGGTGTTTAATTTTTTATTTTCCCTCTTCTTTCCGTTGCACTTCTGCTCCATGGAATTTGGGTTAACGAGGGCTCGACCCTCTTTGGCCCCTTTTTATATAATAATAATAATAGTTATTATTATTATTATTCCTAATCCCCGGTTGCAACTCTTCGTATATACTCGTTAAACCAACCGTTCACGTATTATGGTCAAACCTGAACCGAAAGGTCGGGGTATTACATAATACTAATGTGGACGAAACACAAATTTATATAAGTAAATATCAACATGAATATAAAATGGTTATTGAGGTATTGTTAGTGTAAAGTTATTAAGTAGGAAAAAAATTGCAATCTAGGAAATGTCGACACGACACCTTTCAGTTTAAGGCTTTGCAAGAAAGCAAATGATGTGAAGCTTTGAGGAGCAAATACAAAAGACGAATGCATAGTGCAGTGGACCAAATTGGCGGAGATAACATTTGTGAGGTAATTAGGACTTCCCAAGGAAAACACCAAGGAAGGGGACACGAAATGAGCAACGACTTCCAAGCATGCACGAAAGCCACAGTGCACGACACAAAGTCAAGCATTGTTATAAGAATCAGACCGAACGGAGCCGTAGAACCACTGTTAGATTCATTTGAGTGAGAGTGTTAAGGGGTGAATCGAAAGGTTTTTAACGGTTGAACATGAAATCAAATAAATTAGGGTTATATGTATATTATACCCTTCTATTTTTATATTTTTCTCAAACATAATCCTCTATTATGAATCAAATCAAATATGCCATTCTACTATTACACTCGTCTCACACTTACCCCTCCGTCTATTTTCCCATCCGTAGTCCGTCAAAACCCAACCAACCGAGTCTTGGTCAGCCTGATGTGATGGAAAATAGAAAAGTAAAAGACTATCTTGTCCCCTTCTTCCCCAAAATCTTCACTCGATCCTTCCCGATTGACGCAGGCACCACCACTAGTCAGCGATTCCCTCCCATCCGATGACCACAATCGATTCCGAATCTTCGTTTCCCTTGACTCCGCCACCTCCGCATCACCGTCGTGGATCCTCAATCCCCCCTCCAGAATTGCGGATTCCTCCAACAATCTCATACGCTAGTCGCCCCTCTCCAACCCTCAGTTTGAATGAAGTCGTCACTGCTTGAGCATTCGTTTCCCTGGTTGCGTTGCGAAGAACATTTAGGACATTCCCAATCCTTGGTTCGAAAAAATTAGAAGGGAAGAGAATCCACCCAAAAAAAATTTCCTTTAAGGGTTCACCTAATCACCTCTGCAATAAGACAAATTGAATTGAAAATTGTCTTCTTGTAAGCTATCATTTTCTAATGTAATATTATCCCTAACCCTATGAATATATTAAGGGGAAACAATGCTCAGATTCGATTGGGGTCGCTGGAGAGGAGGAAATGGTGATCGGCTTAGTTGCAGAAGATACACTCGGTTAGTTGACAACAAAGTGATCTTACCAGCGACAATCGAACGTCAGATTCACCAGGTGGTAGACAGCTGGGGAGCGGTTTAGTAGGGGATAAGGTTAGAACATAAGGGGGCAAAATTGTCTATTAACATGCAATTTTCATGACGTCATATTGACCAAAAGTTAGTTTGTCCGGATCAAATGGCTACGGGATGGGAAAATAGACGGAAGGGATACGTGTGAGAAGAGTGTAATAGTAAAAAGGCATACTTGATGTTATTCACAGGAGAGGGTTATATTTGAGAAAAATACAAAGTAAAGGGGCATAATATACATATAACTCAATAAATTATCTCAATTTGTCTGATTCAGTGGTTCCCTCGTCTAACCATAATAAGTTTTTAAAAGACAAAAAATATTATAACGTGAACTTGAGATCATATAACCTTAGTTACTGATTTTATTTATACTTTCTCTTCTTATTTTCCTAACATCCTTACTAAAATTACGTAATCCACTACCGAATGACACTCTAATTTCTAATTTGAATTTTGATAAAAAAATTTACATGATTTCTTTTGTGATACAATTTGAATCATCTATCAGAACTTTTAGTGATGGATCATATGGATTTGAAATTATTTTAGATCAGTGACGAATAGAGTCCTAAATTAGTTATTATGAATATATCTTCTATTAAGATTAACCAACGATTTATAACAACATAGAAGTCCAGCCATTAAATCATGAACTGCTAACTATTTTTTTAGGGATGGCAATGGGTCGGGGGCGAATAGTGCATATCCGTTACCCTACCCAAAATAGTTCGGGTTTTACCCATACCCATACCTACATGTGAAACGGATAGAAAATCAAAACCATACCCATACTCGTTCGGGTTTCGGGTATCCACGGTTATTCATGGGTAATAATTTCTCTTCATAACTCCAACCAATATGTTAACATTCGCACGTAGTCTCATATTACGCAAGAGGAAAAGTACGACAGTAATTCACTAGAATGAAGAAAATCAATTAAAATAACACAACTTCATGAAAATATTGTATTTATATGCTAAATATAAAATATGTTAGAGAAAAATAATGATTATTTCTAAATAAAATACATATGCATATGTATAATCGGGCAGATTCGTGTTGGATAGTGAGAAACCCATGCCCACCCATTACCCGCAATATTCGGGTTCAGGTTTTACCCATATCCACTAAATGTCCTTCGGATTCGAGTTTTACTCTACCCAATTAGGCCAAATTCGAACGGATATCCACGGTTACAGATATTTTTGTCATCCATAAAAACAATTAGACATCTTATCCTATTCTGAAAACATAGAAGTCCAGCCATTCTATTACCGACCGGTAAATGCAATTAAGGGGTCGTTTGGTAGTTGCGATTGTTTTGTTGAGATTGTTACTAATTACTATACATGTATTGTTTAGAATGCATCGTTTTTTTGTTTTTTTTTTATCAGGAACAATGCATGGATTGTTTCTGTGATGTGACAGAAACTATCACTCAAAATGAGTGATTGTTATATCTCAACTTTTCGTTGTGATTGTTGAGATAGTTGAGTTGAGATTGTTTAGTCTCAGCTTTTAGCTGATGTGACATAAACAATCAGACATACCAAACGTTGTATTCTACAATGCATCAAATTCGACAATACATGTATAATATTATACATGTATTCACAACAATACATCCATTTAACAATCACAACTTCCAAACAACCCCTAAGATCAGTAATATCATGGTATGGTACGGGCCGAGCCGAGCCATAATGATCTAGTTGGTGTTGGTGGCCCACGTTTCTTTATCATCAATCCAACAAGGGGACAATTAGAGCCCATTTGAATATTACCAAAGCCCGGAATCTACTTATACTGATATCTTCCCCTGTTCCAACGTTCCATCTGCTCCAACTCTTGGAGACACACACTCCTCTCTTGTATTGTCACTCTTTTATTTGATCACTTTACAGAATGATGACATTACAAAATTACAATGCCTCCTCCTACCTAGCAGTCACATTAGGGTTGTTCAACCCCTCTTCCGAGACATCAAAAAACAACTCATCGCTCCGACACAGAGCATAAACAACATCCACCATGCTCGGCCTCTTCACCGGATCCCTCTGCACACAAGCCGCCGCCACGGTCACCACATTCACCACGCTCTCGATCGAATACGACTCCTCCATCAGCGCTTCATCGACCCAGCTCCTAACCTTCTCCAGCTTCCTCCCTTCAGGAGAAGGACTCTTCCCTCCACCTTCCATCGCAATCCCACCAGCTTCACCCCACAGCACATTCCCCTCCTCGTCGACCGCTTCCCTCCCCGAAACGAGCTCGAGCAGCACGACTCCGAAGGCGAACACATCCATCTTCGTCGACACCACCCCGTCGACCAGGTACTCGGGGGCAATGTACCCCTGAGTACCCACGATGTGCATCGTTATGGCGTTGCAGCCGGATTTCGCCAGCCCGAAGTTTGCAATCTTGGCGCGCATGTTGGCGTCGAGCAGGATGTTGCTGCTCTTGATGTCCTTGTGGACCACTCGAGGCCTGGTGTGCTCGTGGATGTACTGGAGGCCGTTCGCTACGTCGATGGCGATTCGAACCCTCGATTTCCAGCTCAGCTCGCGTCGCCTCTTGTCGTCGGTGTGGAGCCAGGAGTGGAGCGAGCCGTTTTGAATGTGTTCGTAGACTAGGTAGCAGTTGGCTTCTTGAGGGTCGATGCAGAAGCCTTCTAGTTGGACTAGATTGCCATGGTTAACCTGTAGCACAAGCAAACTTGTAGATTAGTAATGACCACTTCTTTTATTGGGGTTTTCTTGTCTAGAATAGATTCCATTCAGGAGTCAGCTGTGTAATTTAAGCCCTATTAAGATCCTAAGACTCAGAAAGCATATTGGAACCTAACTGAAACAGACAGAAGAGTGTCATTAGATGATGAAGCATATCCACCTAACCCTTTTATTATAATTACTAACCGCCAAATTGGATTAATCAAATCCAATTATTGAGAGCTAAATGTCTTTGTCTATCAGAATGTTTCAGTTCTGTTACTTTTTTTTTTTTATCTCCATTTCCTTTTCACCCTTGAGAGTTGAGAGTGAACAAACTGGTTCAAACAAGCAGTGAAAACGATGAACAAGAAGGAAAAGAATCGATTTTTAGTTTTTACCTTCTGCAAGATCTTGAGCTCTTCACGAGCATTCCACTTCATCTTCTTGATAGCATACTGAACTCCATCGATCTCGCCTTTGTAAACAGAGCCTTCAATCAAGCAATCGTCGCTGAACCCATCAGTAGCATCTCTCAACTCGTCGATCTTAAACACCCTGTACTTATCCAAGCACTCAGACACATCCGCCATTAAACTGGCCTCCATTTCCTTCAACCCTTTCCCCACGAAAAACTCCCGCTTCTGCTTCTCCTCTTCTTCGTCCCCACCTCGCTTCCTCAACGCAACCTCTCTGTAAACCCCAAACCCAATCAGCAAAACCAGGAAACCCCCACAAACCCCAACCCCAATCGCCAATCCTCGAATCAAACCTTTCCTCTCCTTATCAACAAAACTAGGAGGCGGCAAAGGAGGAGGAGGAGGAGGAGAGGAACTATTACGACTCGAATTCGAAGAATCCGGCAGAACGGGAAGCCGATTGACCGGAATGAAAATCGTGTCAAGCGGCTTGATACTGTTTCCATTCACATCGGAGATCGATTTCGCAGAAACCCCAAAAGTCGAAGCTAGCCGGGACAGCGTATCGGAAGGCTGGAAAACGTACGAGACCATGAAATTGACCTGATTCGATTTCTGGGTCTGGTCCGGGCACCTGCAGAAGATCGGGAAAATCACGCTGTCCCCGACCTCGAGCTTCGTCGGGACGAGGGTAGGGTTGACGATTTCGACCGATTGGTAAGTGGTGAGGTTCTGGAAGTGGTCGGTGGAGACGAACCAGAAAGTGTCCCCTGATTTGATGGTGTAGTCGAGGTTAGCGGAGGAGATGGCGAGGGTGGAATTGATTGCGTTGCAGGAGCAAGTGATGGGGACGAAGAGCAGCTGGTTAGGGAGCAAAGGAGCAGATGGGTCGGAGATGTTGGTGGGTTTGGAGATCATGAGGCGGCTGACGGAGAAGAGGTCGGCTATGGAGGCTAGGTCGAGGAAATTGGGAGGGGAAGCTCGGTAGAGAGCGTAGGCCTGGCATCTGGTTCGGGTTCGGTTGGGGTTGCAGGTGAATCCTTGGGTGACTGGTGGGACTAATGGTTGTGGCTGGGATTGGGAGTGGGGGTTGAGGAAGAAGAAGGCGAGAAGGGTAAGGAGTAATTTGGGTCTCATTTTGAGGTTCTTGGTTTGCTGGTTGGAGTTTTGGCGGCTTTGCAGAAAATGGTGGGTTGTATATATGTATTAGCCGTTCGGTGCTGGGCCTGAAACTGGAGATGGTGGAGCTGTTTTCCTTTTTTAAATAGTTTCCGGTCGTCTTCTTCCGTCACAACGTTAGTCGGACTTCAAATTTATTTCTTTCAATACTTCAAATTTACAGATTCCACATTCATAAACGAAAAGAAAGAAATTTACAGGGTCCATGGTTCTTACGGATCAATCAAATCCACTACTGACGTTAAGGTTATGAGGATTAATCACACAAATATTGTTTTTTTTTAATTTACCACTAATATTATAAATTAAAAACTATTGACACAAATATTGTGGTTTTTAGTAAGGATTGGGGCGGGACCACCTGAGACTCAGGCGGGACTGATTTTTTACCCAATCCTGGGTGCTGGCGCCCCAGTCTCAAGCGGCCCCGCCTCAGTCAAATTTTTTTAATTAGTCCTAGGCGCTGGCGCCCGAGACTCAGGCGGGAGCGTCCCAGCCTCTTTTTTTTTTTAAATTCCGACGGGCCCCTTCCCACCTTATCCCCTCCCACCTTATCTCCTCCACACCACACATCCTCCTCCTCTCTTCTTCTTCCTCCCCCCAACCCCGAACCAGAGACCCAGCCTTGCCTCCCGCCGCAACCGCTACCGCCCCAGACTTAGGCGCCGCCGCCGTAGACTCGGGCGCCGCCTCCGCAGACTCGAGCGCGGCCGCTGCCGACTCGAGCGCCGCCGTCCTAGACTGAAGCGCCGCCGCCTTTGACACAAGCGCCGCCGCCCTTGACTGAACCGCCGCCGCCCGAGATGTCCTCCGACGAAGAACCAGTCGCTGCCGGCAGAGGGAGAGGTCGGCGAGGTCGTGGTGGAGTCGGCGGCCGTTTGCGCGGTGAGACTCTCGTCGGCAGCTTGATTTTTTTTTAATGTTTTGTGTTTTTTTTAATGTTTTGTTGCTTTGTTTTTGCAGTTCCTAGGCTTATGGATCCTTGTTCGATGAGATTACCGCCGGCGACAATTGATCCAAGTCCGGTCGATCCGACACTTCTTTGGGGACATGGCCAACATCGTATCGACTCTGTTTGGACAAACGAGGTAAGTATTTGATAATTATTCATGTAAAGTTAATTAGCTAATTAGATTATTTTAGGTTGTGAACTGAACTGTTAGGTGAAATTAGTATAATTTCAAATTAGTATAATTTTATTCATTTGTACATAATTATGCCAGGTTTCCAGTAACACACGTTTTTAATTATATAACAAAAGGGATTATTTGAAGAGTATTTGTAGTGTGATGTGGATAAATTATAATGTGATCGGTCAATGGTCAACGACCACCGGAGCTTATGGTATGGATTGTGAGATTTATGGTTTGGTTTATGATGTTTTTGTATGTTTTTTTGTTGTTTGTTTTATCGTGTTTGTGGTTTGCATTGAGAAGTTTCTCGTTTGCTTTCAAAATTTTGTGGTTTGCATTGAGGGGTTTCTGGTTTGTTTTAATATATTAGTGGTATACATTAGGACGTTTCAGGTTTGCTTTTTTGTGGTTTGATTTACTGTGTTTGTGGTTTGCATTATGAGGTTTCTTGTGTCCTTTCGCAAATGTTGTGGTTTGCTTTGGGAGGTTTGTGGTTTGTTTTAGGAGATTTGTGGTATGCATTAGGAGGCTTCTGGTTTGCATTAAGAAGTTTCTGGTGTGCTTTCGAAACTTTTGTGGTTTGCTTTGCGAGGTTTCTGGTTTGTTTTAATATATTTATGGTCTGCATTAGGACGTTTTTGGTTTGCTTTACCATGTTTGTGGTTTGCATTAGAGGGTTTCTGGTGTGCTTTTCAAAATATTTATGGTTTGCTTAGTGAGATTTCTGATATGTTTTAGCAAATTTGTGGTTTGCATTAGGAGGTTTCCGGTATGTTTTTTGTGGATTGTTTTATTGGGTTTGTGGTTTGCACTAGGGGATTTTTGGCGTCTACGAACACCCAACACCCATTTTTTAATTGCTTACTTACTCTGTGATGTTGATCTTTAACTACTTTACATTTTTCCACTTTGTAATTACTAATTACATACGTTTATCAATATTATTATTATATATTAATCAGGTTTCCATCTTCCATCCCCAAGGACCACCATCTGCGCTTGCTCGCAGTGCGGAGAGGGTTTCCATCCCCAAGGACCACCTAGCCTAGGTTCCACCGTTCCAACAATAGCGAAACACCCACCAAACGAAATTGAAATCTCTCTGCCTCTGCCTTTTTTCTTGCTCTGTTTTTTCACGCAGAGAGCATGGGCGAGAAGAAAATGAAGGCAAGCAACACGACTCTTATCGTCTTCTTCTTCTCCTTCTTTTTCTTCTTCTACAATTGCGAGACTTCTATCTGGATTTGGAGTGTTAGGAAGAGATGGAGAGACGGATAGGAAAGGCGCGACCGGTGGAGTTGCCTTTGCGCCTTTGGTTTCTTTTTCTTTTGCCAAATGCGGAGTTCCGGATCCAGAGAGAACAAGCAAAGCAAACTGTGGAATGAATAGATCCAAATATATGCAGAAAAATCCTGGTCTCTAGTCAATTAGGGGATTCGCTCGAGAACTCCTCTGCCATCTGATCTCTCTCCCCTGTTTCTTAGTCCCTCGCCGTCGGAGTCTCAATCGCTGCCTCTCCGGCCTATTGTACTAGTCCTTCAGCTTGTCCTTTTACTCGAGAAGCCGTCTATGGCGGCTCGATTTCAGATTGAGGGAGATGACTCGGTTCTCCTCCGCGTCACTCACTTCAATCTCAAAACTTTCTCTGACGAGGTCCGCTGCTCACTTCAGGTAAGTGCGCCATCGCGAGTGACGACGAAGAAGGAAGAGGAAGAGAATGGAGGAGGAGCGCAGTTGTCAGATCGCGTGGAGACTATTGTCAGACCACAGACCATGTGAAAGCGGTAGAAGCGAGGAAGAGGGAGGTGGAATAATTTTATATTTATATTTATTTTTGTGTAACTTTACTCTTTTACCCTTAATGAATTATGATGTTATTATAACAACACTAATGGTGTTGTTATACTATCCGCCCCCTCAGCCGTGGGAAGACTTGTCAATGGATTTTGTCTTGGGATTACCTCGTGCTCAACGAGGGACTGATTCCATCTTTGTTGTAGTAGATCGTTTCTCCAAAATGACCCATTTTGTATCCCCTGCAAGCAGACCAACAATGCACCTCACATCGTCAAGTTGTTCTTCCAAGAAATAGTTCGTCTTCATGGGCTTCCTCGATCCATCACTTCCGATCAAAATCCAAGTTCCTAGCTGTATTTTGGTCCACTTTATGGAAGCAATTTGGAACTGAACTGAAATTTAGCAGCACTGCTCATCCACAAACCGATGGCCAGACTGAAGTGGTGAACCAAACCTTGGGCAATTTGTTACGTTGTTTGTGTGCAGAAAATCAGCGCCAATGGGACTTTGCCTTGGCACAAGCAGAATTCGCGTACAACAGCGCTCCCCATCGAGCCACCGAGATGTCCCCGTTTGCGGTCGTTTATCGCCGCACTCCTGCAACCACTCTTGATCTCATCAAGCTTCCCACCGGGTTGAAGAAGAGTGAAGCTGCTGATTTGTTTGCTTAGTCTCATGTGGATACCATTGCCCAAGTGAAGCAGAAGTTAGAGCAAGCCATTGCTCGCTACAAACTTGTTGCCGATCGTCATCGTCGTGCTAAGACTTCTCAAGTGGGCGACTTGGCGATGGTCTATCTACGCAAAGAGCGTGGTGGCAGCCAGCGTAAGCTAGACCCAAGGAAGATTGGTCCTTTCAAGATTATCCGGAAGATTAATGATAATGCTTATGTCCTTGACCTTCCCGCACATATGCGCATTTCTAGAACTTTCAACGTTGCGGATTTGTCTCCCTACTACTCTGCTGATCAATCCGAGACGGCTTGAGCACAAGTGGAAGGGAATAATGCACCCGTTATATCCTATATTAATAAGTTGTATCTCTTAACGAGATAATTATTTTACTTGGGGGGAATAATCTTTTAATGAGATGTTTATCTCTTCAAAGTGAGTGAAGGGGTGTGTCCTTTCATTTCAGCGACTGTACGTTTCTTTCTTGTTTGCCTGATAAATAGGCTGGGCAGGAAGCCAACGGCAACAACAGAGATAAGAATAACATAATAAAATTCCTCAATAACGTTTGTGATCTTTGGGTTGTCTACTCTCTCGTCCGTTCGTACGATAACGAACTTACCTCTATTACTTTCGTTCTACCCCACTGGTGATGCTGGGGATTCCATTGGCGTAGCCACCATCTATTCTAGATGGTTGCTGGTCTTGCGGCGGCGGTTCGCGCAGCGCTCGAGTTTGGCTAGAAGTTCTTCCAAGCCTGCTATCATATAGTTGTCGCGAGCTTCCCTCCTAGATTCATATGCTTTCATGTTAGCTTCATATTTTACTAGACTGGCTTGGAGAGCTTCAAACACGTGATAGCGTTTCTGATAACAATTTCCTGGTGAGAGTTGTGATGAACTCAAATATGTGACCATGGCTCTGATACCAAATGATAGAACCTGAGATTAGGGTTCTATCGGGAATTGGGGATTTAGGGATTAGAGAACAGAATTAGGGTTTGAGAAGAGAAAGATAGAGAATCGGCCTAGGCTTTTAGAGGGATGGGGAACGAGAATTGAGAGGATTGAGAGAATAGGGTTTAGGAGAGTTTTCTTAATATTCTTCTTGACTGATTATAATGAATTCCCAAAGTACACTTATATAGGAAAAGATAGAAAATCCTAACAATAAACCTAATCCTACTAAAAGACTACTAATCATAATAATAATTATCCTACCATTATTAATAAATGAAACCCTAATAATAATATTTCTAACAATAGGAAATGGCGCGTCCATTCGGATATGGGGAGACCGGTGGTTGCCGTCAGTGTCAGGCTTTATAATACAGTTTTCGCTGCGGGGCTTGCCGGTGGATGCTGTGGTTAGAGACTTGATTGATGAGGAGTTGGAGATGTGGGATGAGACAGTGATTGAGAGTTGTTTTCCTACGAAGATGGTGGAGGAGATAATGAAGATACAGCTGCGAGGAGCTGAGGAAGCGGATAAACTTATTTGGGCTTCAAGCCGAGATGAGAATTATGTAGCACGAGAAGGATATAGGAGGTGGCTAGAGAAATTTCGCATGTAGAAGGGGCTTGACATGGTGTGGAATCCGACGACTTGGAACTGAGTTTGGTCCATGAATGTTCCCCCGAAGGCTCGTGTTTTTATGTGGCGGTTCACTAGAGACTCCTTAGCGACGGGTGACCATTTGAGTGCGCGAAGTCAGGGGCGTGGAGATACGTGCCCATTTTGTAATGCAAGGGAGACACAGGTGCACCTCTTTTCGTAGTGTGGATGGACGAGCAGACTTTGGCATACTTCCCATATTAAACACTGTTTCGAGTTGCGGGGAACGCATGACTGCATGGAGTGGGTAGACAAGGTGGTGGAGACGGTGTCCGTGGCGGAGTTCGAGGAGTGGTGTATGTTATTATGGATTCTTTTGAAGGAACCTACTGCACACTATTTTAATGGCACCAAAATGGCGGAGCATGATATTGTACCAAGAGCTTTCTCCCTCGTAGAAGAGTTCCGACAACATCCGATTAGGGAGGAGGTGGCCTCAGATAGTACGTCCATTCGACATTGGGTGCGTCCGGATATGGGTATGGTGAAGGTAAATACGGATTTTGGGTCATTTGATAATGGAAATGGGTTGGGATTCGTGGTCTGAGACCATGCTGGGAAGTTTCTACTATCAGCAGCAAAGAAGTCGAGGGGAAGAATGGAACCGGAGATGGGCGAAGCGCTGGCGGCGGAGTTCAGGATGTAGCTTGTCCGACAACACTAGTTTGGGACCACTTTTGGAGTTGGATAGTCTTACGGTGATAAAGACCATAAGGGAAGCTGCAAATATTCATACAAAGTTGGGAATTATTTGTCGAAATATACGATGCTTGCTGGAAAGTGACGAAAGAGGAATGTCAAGACATGTCAACTAGTAGGCTAATCAGGCGGCACATATCATGGCACACATTAATACTAGATGGGGTGAGGCGGAGGTCTGGTTTGATCGCCCACTGGTTTAATTGATTGATCAGCTTAGTCTGGATGATGTAACAGCTTCATCTGATTAATAAAGCGTCATGCATGTTTCTATATAAATAATAATAATAATAATTTTATATTGAGATTAGGGCTGACAACCAGAAATGTTTAGTCAATTTTCAGTTAACCATTAAGTACTTTGTGCTTATCGTTAACTGTATTGTTTATATTAGTCGATTAATCATAATTGTGTAGTCGATTCTTCAGCATTTTGTCGATTTGCCGGATAACCATTAAACAAGTGATTCGGCAAGGTTATACAAAAATAAATAATCGGTTACCTAATTAACAGAGGGCCTCTTTCATTTTCAATTGTGCATTTTTGTACATTTTTTCCTACATGCGTATGTGTTCTTTTTTTTATTATATAATTTTGGTATCATCAAATAAAAAATAATTTAACATAGATATAGATCCATAATCGACTCATGTTACACCCCAACATTTGAAGTTTAGGTTCGACCAAACGGTTGGATTGACGATTACATACGAAGATTTGCAACCGAAAATAATAATAATAATAATAATAATAATAATAACAACAACAACATTTACCACCATTGTTATTATTATTATTCTAATCACCTTATCATCATTCTCTCGTCCAACAAAAGGGTGAAAGAAAATTAATAATAAACAATAAATCACCCCATCATTAACCCATGAACGTCCCTCTCTAAGTCTCTCCCTCTCCCGAACTGCCACAACAATGAAACCCACCCTCTTCCTTTCTTTTTACCAGCATCACAATTTACTGTCCCAAAAGCCATAACGTACGACCCATTTTCCCCACCCCTGCTCTGTCATCGTGTCATTTTCTCGGTAGCAGCAATAGAGAGAAGCCCAGCGGCCATGCCGAGGAAGCGGCCTCCACTCATCCCGTCGCAAGCCCTGTGTTGACGCCACCATCGACGATAACTTTTCTCTCTTGGCGTTGTAGTGGTAAGGTTCTTGATCTCCTCTGTCCCTAAACTCGATTTAACCCCCATTAAACCAACGCATGTGATCATCGTAGTGCTCCATCGACGGCACCGGCGTACTCGACCTCGACCAAACTTCGAAAACTTGGTACCATCTCGTAGAGAGCAATCTCAGGAACATCCCGGTTTCGATGGATTTGAATTTCGACGTCGGACGAGGAAGATACGAGCCTTGAAAGCGTGGGACGTGAATCGGAGTGTTCAGGTACCAAATCTGTCCATTCGAAAAGTATAAGGACCTAGAGAATAATTTCATTTCAGTCTGTCGAAAGTTCTTGTTAGTCCCCCATATTTTTGGTACGAGCAGCTTAGTCCCCAGTGTTTTAAACATTTACAATTGGTCGAAAACAGTATTTTCTCACAATTTTAATTATTATTTTGGGTTGCGTACAGTGTGTATTTTCAAAGTATGATAATTTTATAAATAAGAAAAAACTAATAGGAGTCTGTGATTTTAATTCGAGAATTTTTGAAGATAAGTTTCAAACTTTAAAAATTATTAGGAAGACGGATTTAGATAAATAAAATAGTATTCGAACGGTTTTTCCGGTTTTGGTAATTTTATTCAAATAAATATACCTTTATGTTTGTTCAGTAATTGTTGAATGATTTTTAGAGTTGATTTGATAGTTACAAAGATTTAAATGATATTCATTTTAATTAATTTAATTACTGTATGTATATATATTATGACTTTGTTAATTTTGTTAAAGACTAGAATATTGACTTTGTGTAGGGGAATTAAGAACCTGAATTTGAAATTTAGACATGTGTAGCATAGGTTTAAAAATTAGTTATATTATTTTAAATAAGAAGGAGGGGTAATTAAGGTATAAAATTATAGTCAATGATTTTGGTTTATGTTTTAAGTTATTAGAAGTCAGAAAATGTAGTTTGAAGGGTAAGGGATTTTTGGAAAATTCTTGAGAATTTTTATGAGATTTATGCAAAGGATTATTTAATTAGTTAGGATGAGTTAAGGCCTTTTTAAGAATTATGGGACTAAGCTAGGAGGACGAAAATTTTTGCGGAATAGCGACTAAGGGAAATTTATGTTCGTTAATTTTTTTCAATTAAGCGCGATTATGTGTGCGAGGCATCCCACCGCCTACTTAAGGTGGAGGCACTCGTTGTGCTATGTATATGATGTATGTTTGTATGTAAGTTGAACCCCCGGGCGGTTGGGCCACTACTGGACGCGGTAGATGGTCGGGTCACTACTAGACGGCGATACGTAACGCTGTAGTAGACCGGGCATGGACTGGACGGTGATACGTAACGCAGTACCATTGCCTTGAGGATATGGACACCGAACGACGATACATAACGCGATGATTCCCTAGTAATAAGTATATAAGTTAAGATAGAAGTAGAGAACTTCTATGAGATATCAATGATTAAAAGTATTAAGGATGAAAGCGAGAACGACTTTCATGTAAGAGGAAGTCATTTCTAATAATGTGTTAGTAGGGTTTGCTTAGTGCAAAGACCTTAGAAAGTAACGACGAGACTGACCCGTTCTCACTCACTAGGTGTGGAAAGGGGAAGAGGGCGTAACCAGCACGAGGAGATTAATCAAGGAGGTCAGTCCCGTCAAGTTTGAAGATGTCGGAAGGATCATGGTATTGAGAATTGCCCAACTGTTTAGGGCTTTTTGTTTGAGATTTTTGGTTATTGTCGTTGGTTGATTTTTGGTTTGACTTTAAAACATGGTTTGGGTTGCTCCGGAGTAACCAGTTTTTGTTTTAAAATTTTGGTTTGATTTGTCAAAAAGATCGGGTTGTTTCAACTCAATCCACACAAGGACACAATAACACCATTCTACCGTCAAATTTGATTAAAGAAGTAGGCACTAATGAGAGGCCTAACACCAATTGTTCAACTCATAATAAATCCCACCAAATTACATGGAAGTTTAAATGTTATTGATTGTTGTCGGACTGATGTGCCCAAGTTCAACTTCCTACTATGCTCCTTCTAAAGCCCTCCTTGAAATTATTATCATTTGAACCTAATTGACTATTACAACTAGGCTATGCAAGAGATCTTGTAGGCTTTCAAACATCTCATTATGTTTTACCTATTTCTGTGACTCATCGATGCCTATTATTTGCAACCCTAACTATAAGGATGGCCGTAATCGGTTAGTGGGTTAATAGTTTAACCATGGGTTATTAACCGTTAACCTTTGTTTACTAATTAGCTAAACTGGACTATCGGAACAGACTGTTTACAGTTCAATCGATTATCGGTGTAACCGTTAACCACCGATTTTCGTTCGGTTAGTGGTTACATCACTAACAGAATTACCGTTTACCACCGAAGGCACAACAACGCTTTTGAAACAACCCTCTCTGGACCAAATGCCTCAACCCCTCTTCTTCATAATGAACAAGAGAAAATTTAGATTACAAAAAGACCAGTGGGGAGCCAAGATCCTCACTTCGAGCCCAAGCCGATGGTCAATCGTCTCTGAATCATTGAGATCTGCAAGGTGAAGCAAGGAGGTATGCAAACGTAAAAGAATACTAGGGGAAAAGTTGGATTCAAAGCAAATCCACCCCCCATTGGTACATAGATCAAATCATCTCCATTTCTGATAACTGATATATCAGAACAGAAGGCAAAATAACAACCCAAAAAGGAGTTGGAAAATAAACCCATAAGAGGAAAATGCAGAAGCTAGAAGAAGAGCACCCACACAGGTGAAAGCAAAGCAACAACAGAATAAAATAAAAAATATAAAAAATTTAAAATAAAGGAAAATGAAGAAGAAAAACAGGGATGCGGGTGGTTGTAGGTTGTCGTCGATCCCCAGAAGGTGTCGACAACATCCTTTGAGAATATCAAGGGATGCTTGGAGAGAAGGAAAACAATTCAAACAAAAAGATAGAGTGCAATTATATTGATGTAGATAACAATTACATCTTTACAAACATTTATCGAACCCAATTATGAGTTACAAGTTACATCATCTTTTTTATTATCATCAAATTAGTTATTATTTTTATTTCTTAAGTATTTTATATTTTTATAATCGCATTAAAAAAATCAATGTCAATTGCAACTGAATTACATTGATGTTGTGCAATAAATTATATGAGTTGGATCGCATAAATTGTGAAGCGACAATAGAACAATACATGTGTTTGATCTTGCAATTAATGTATTGTGATGTTCTTAGTGAATTATTTTTAAATATAAATAAATATTTAATTTACACAAATTATAAAAATAATATCAAATAATTCATTAAAAAGTTTACTAATTTTTTATTTTATTTTCATAAACAACCAAGACGTGTCATCATATTATGAGAGAAGTAAAATATACATGTATCGAAGCAATTGAGAATTTGTTATGGTTAAATCAAAATCTTCATCAAGTACAAACTAACCAAAGCAAGATACTTGGAGTTAGAGGTGTTCAACCAGTGTGGTTATCGTGGTAACCGTTTTAACCGGTAGTATTTGGTTAATTTGGTTTGGTTAAAATTTTTAGCTTATTTGGTTTAGGTGGTTTGGCTTGGTTAGCTATATATCTAATACATATTTTTAATACTTTGTTACACCACTCAAGAGTCAAATGTAAGATAATTGTATTTGTTAGATGTATTTACGTTAAGGGTTAACTATAATTATGTGTACTGTTATGTGTTATCCATTATATAAATTGCGAATTGATGCACTAACTGGAAATTTTTCTCACTTAATGATAATGTGATGTTATATTGGTTATTTTGGACTGGTTAACCAATTAACCAAACCGATTAAACTTTAGTTTGGTTAATTTGGTTGTTGTATTAGTTTGGACGTTTTGGTTATGACATTGTATTCCTTGGTTAATAAAATTTAGGCTTATTTGGTTTGGTAATTACCATGGTAACCATTTGAACACCCCTACTTGGAGTCTCTCCTCAAATACAGTCATGAACACAGAACAATCAACTAATAGAATGAAACTATACACATACTCTATATGATGTTATAAATAAAGTTTTTGACAATAGAATAATAGGAAATGAATTGCAACTTTGTGACAAAATAATATTGATTAACTTAGAGGTATAGAGTTTGCTCTCTGAGCATATGCATACTTATTGAGTTGAAATCAATACTTTTTTTTTGTGTGAAAAAGGATATAATTAAGAATGTAATGGATGAGGCCTATATGAAAAGATACAACCATTATCATACAAGGACTAGAAATTAGCAAGAAAAATACATAACCCACCACAGACCCGGATCCCAATAGGACCCTAAGCCCAGGACCCAAACATTTCCCCTAACCCCCCAACCCTAACAGACACCCACAATGGAACTCGTCCTTGTGGATGAAGCTGCCTCTGTCGCACAACCAAATCAAGCAACGCCACTCTCCACCAACACCGCCACCACCGTCAAACAAAGGGGCAGATTCTACCAAACCACTCGAGCCAATCAAATTGTCCGCCTCCCACCGTGCGAAACTCGTGGGGATCTAGAACACTTGATAGGACAATTGATGGATGAAACAGAGGGGAGGCGATCTTTTGTCTTCAATCTCTCCAAAACCGCGTACGACGCATGGGATGCATCTCCGAACCACCAGATCTGCAAGGTGAGAACAAGGAGGTAGATGATGGAAAAATAGGAGAAGACAAGTCAGTCTTATGCAGATCTAGCCTCCTTGCATCTTGGATCAAACAAACATCTCCAGTTCTGAATCACCAGAACAAAGGACAAAAACCCAACCCAACAAAGGTAGAGGACAACAACCCATAAAGGGAAAGAAAACCAAGAAATGGCTAGAGAAGAAAAACGAAAGGGAACCAGAGCGGGAAAGCTGAAAAACATGAGAGATAAAAACAAAAGAAGAGGGGCCAAAGAGCTGCCACCAGTCACTGGAGAGGCGACGACAATAGCCCCCTTAAAAGTCTTGAAGAGAGGTTAGAGGAAATTTTTTGAAAGAAAAGTTAGAGAGAGGAAGTTTTTTGCCACTTTTGGAATCAATACAACGTCCATTATTACCATCACATTTTATAAGCATACATAGGAAACCATGTTGCTTCTAATAACTATCTCTTACGTAATACTTTCTTGAAACGACATTAAAACTAGAAAACTCTAGTAGAAATATACTTCTCTTATATTTTACCCATACACTGCTACATAATGACAGACCATCCTACCTAACAGTCACTTTAGGGTTAGTCAACCCATCATCATCTGAAATATCAAAAAACAGCTCATCATCACTCCGACACAAAGCATAAACCACGTCCATCATGCTCGGCCTCTTTAGAGGATCCACATTCACACAAGCTGCCGCCACGGTCAACACATTCACAACACTACTCTCCATCGAACCACCATACCCCTCCCCCTCCTCACTGTCCTCATCGACACCGTCATCTTCGACCCACCTCCTCACACTCCCCAGATCCTCCCATAACGAATTTCCTTCCTCGTCCGTCGCTTCCTTCCCAGAGACGAGCTCCAGCAAGACGACCCCGAAGGCGAACACGTCCATCTTCGTCGACACCACCCCATCAGCCATGTACTCGGGGGAGATGTAGCCCTGGGTCCCCACGATGTGCATCGTTATGGCGTTGCGACCGGATTTGGCTAAACCAAAGTTGGCGATCTTGGCCCGCATGTTGGCATCGAGGAGGATGTTGGCGGTCTTGATGTCCTTGTGCACGACTCTCGGCCTGGTGTGCTCGTGGATGTACTGGAGGCCGTTGGCCACGTCGATGGCAATTCGGATCCTCGTTTTCCAGCTTAGCTTTTTTGCAGGGTTCGTCTTGTCGTTGTCGTGGAGCCAGGAGTGGAGCGAGCCGTTTTGGATGTATTCGTAGACCAGGTAGCAGTTGGCTTCTTCAGGGTCGATGCAGAATCCTTCTAACTGGACTAGATTGCTATGGTTGACCTGTTGGATATACAAAAATTGTAAGAAAGTAGGATCCCTTCCAACAAGTCGAGTTATTGAGACAAGTTGATTTATGATATGCTATCAAAGTTGGTTTGCCTTTAAAGCATAGTGTTCAAGTCCTCACTATCATAATATTAAGTATTAACCTTATCTTAAAGTACATGATTTAGTGGGTCGGTACAAAACTCACATGTTAGCTTTAATTTGAATGATCTTGTAAGAAAGTAATTAAGTATCCTACATGGATCTCTATCAATAAAGTTATTGGCACAAGTAGGTTTATGAAGGTGACATAGAAACCAAATAACAGATTCAATTAATTACCTTTTGTAAGATCTTGAGCTCTTCGCGAGCATTCCACTTCATCTTCTTGATGGCGTACTGAACTCCATCAATGTCGCCTTTGTAAACAGAGCCTTCAATCAAGCAATCGTCACTGAACCCATCAGTAGCATCTCTCAACTCGTCAACCTTAAACACCCTATATTTATCCAAACACTCCGACACATCCGCCATTAACCCTGCCTCCATTTCCTTCAACCCTTTCTCTCCTTCCGCATGGATTTCCCGACTCTGTTTCCCCTGTTTATAACGCCATTTCCCGAATACCCTCTCCCTATAAACCAAAACCCCAATCAGCAAAACCAGCAAACCCCCACAAATCCCGATCGCAATCTCCAGTCCTCTAATCAAACCCTTCCTCTCCCTCGTCGCAGCAGCAGGAGGAAGAAGAGCGGGTGGAGAAGAAGAAGAGTTGGTATTCCCCTGTCCCAGAATCGGAAGCCGATTCACAGGAATGAAAATCGTATCAAGAGGCTTCACATCGTTCCCGTTCACATCAACGATCGATTTCAGGGGAACCCCAAAAGTTGCGGCGACGGCGGAAAGACTATCCGAAGGCTGAAACACATAAGAAACCATGAAATTTGTCCCGTTGGCTTTCTGGGTTCGGTCAGGGCATTTGCAGAAGATGGGGAAAATCGCGTTATCCCCAATCGCGAGCTTCTCCGGGACGAGATTAGGGTTTACGACTTGGACCGACGGGTAAGTGGTGAGGTTCTGGTAGTGGTAAGTGGAGACGTACCAGAATGTGTCCCCTGACTTGATAGTGTAATTGAGGTTAGCGGAAGAGATGCTGAAGCTGGAATTGACTGTGTTGCAGGAACAGGTTAAGGGGACGAAGAGCGGCTGGTTGGGGAATAACGATGCGGATGGGTCGGAGATGTTGCTGGGTTTGGAAACCATGAGTCGGCTGACGGAGAAAAGGTCGCCGATGGAGGCCAAGTCGAGGAAATTGGGAGGGGAAGCTCGGTACAGAGCGTAGGCTTGACATGAGTAGGTGGTTTGGGTTTGGTTCGGGTTGCAAGTGAACCCTTGGGTGATTGGCGGGTTTAGAGGTTGAAACTGTGATCGGCAATGCAGAATGAATTTGTCGTAGTTGAGGAAGAAGACGATTAGAAGGGAAAGGAGAAAATGGGTTTTGTTGGGTCTCATTTTTCTCTTCCTCTTCTTCTTGGATTTGGATCTCTTGAGATGATTTTGTGCAGGCAATGGGGGTTTAATTTATGTACTCTGTTTTCATGCCTGAAAACAGAGACAACTGAGAGAGGGAGTTTTGGCTTGTTCATGGTTTTTCTCCCGTTTTTAAAATAACCCAGTCGTCATCTGAAAATGCCCGACGGACTCCGTCGTCGGAATTGTTTATAATATATGGAGCTTTCTTTTCCTGATTTTGGTGTTATATATTACCGGGATAATGGGGAGCGACGACTTGCCGATTGATACATAAAGACTTTTGTACAACAATCATCATAATCATCCAATCCTCACCTATCTAATTCCAAGTTCCAACTACTCCTTGGCATCACTGTCGAGTGTCCTAATCAGTAATCAGTCCATCTTTTACTACGGAGATTAGAGAGGAAGGAAAAACTGGGATGGGTTGACTCACTGACTCCAGATTGGTTCTCTGGAAAACAAGAGGAATTTCAGGACGGCAGATGCATTAATCAAATGTTTTTAGGAAGGAAGATTCGTACTAGCGAATAGCGATGCGCCCCTACTATGTCCAAAATTTAGCTTTCCAGGCGGTTCCTGGTCTCTGTTACCATGGCCTGTAAGTCAACACCAGCTGCGGGGATTTTACAGTACAACAACCAAAGATTGAGGGACAGGGGCAAGAACGCGTTTGGAGGTGTGTTGAATCCTGCTCAACTGTTTGCTGCACCGTGGAGAAGCTAAAACGAAGTCATAGCCTGTGATAATCTGGATCCTAATTTTGTCTATTGGTGAGAATGGAGTCAGGGAAGCAAATATTTGCTACTAGATCGTCGGACCCGTTCGTTGGCCGGATGAATTTCGTTAATAATATAAATAACCTTATTAATTGTTCAAAGCAAGACATGTTTTATTTCATAACATAAAAATTTCAAATCATTTAGTTATTGAAATCATACTCTTGTCATTTTTAACATGCCAAGCTGATTTACTAACAGAAGTTCTTACTCTAATTAAGTAAAAAACAAAAGTCATGCAAAGAAATTGACTCCTGCAACTTTAATAAGACGGCAACACTATTTACTCCTCGATGACAATAATTATTACGAATTTTATTTTGGATTTCATGTGATGTTCCCCCTAATCCCTATGTCCTCTAAAGCCCCATCGTATCCACCAATTACCATGTTTTTGTGTTTCTTAGTCAAATTTTTTTCTTCACAATAGTTGTTCCTATTTTTTTTTTCCTTCGAAGCCAATATTTTATAACAAAATGTTTGTATACACTAAACATTACACACAATAAAATTTATGTCTAGGGAACATTTTATGAGATTTGTTCTTTCCCTAATGCTGACAAATAACCCTGCGACCAACACAAAATTATCAGTGGATTGAAAACTTAATGGTTGTCCAATTTTTAAAAATGGCTTAAGAAATTTTAGTGGTTGATAATGAGAATAATTAGACCTGCCACAAATGCCATCTTCTATCTGTGGTGATTTGATTTTTAATTTGTAAATCATGAATTAAACAGAGAGTAACATGATCATTCTAAGTTGTCTCTAAGAAGATTGGGAGATTAGTAAATGACTAGTCATCAAGGTGATACCACATTCATAACAATCTAATAAAAAATTGATGGTGGGGATACCATTAGAAATTGTCGTAGATATTGGGAACCATTATACAAGAATTGATAGTTTATGAATGCTATTATATATGATGCTATAGAAGGCTAGAATTACAAATTTTACTATTCCAAAATATGTCAAAAGGATATCATTTTATATAATAAAAATTTTTCCCAAGAATTTTCTAATTTAAATTATAAAAAATAAATATGATAAATTAAAAACTAATAAGGGAGTCGATATGCGCCTTAAATCATAAGCTCATATTATATTTAACCGAACAGATTAATTAAAAAGGGATGACTTTCTTTTTAGTTGACCAAACAATCCTTCCTTGATGTGCGGAGAAGCTAGGAAAAAACCAATTGGGTGGGTTCTCAAGGAGAACCTCTTTATATTGTTTAGAGGAAGAGGATATAGAAAATAATAATATTTTTTGGTGAAAAAAATAATAGTAATTGCACAAATCAAATTACGTTTTATTTTGTATCAACTCAAATCCAAATTATCCAATTATTAAAAATATAAAAAAGCATTCATCATAAGTTTTCTTACATATTGATCATTCATGGACAAAAGTCCTTATCAAAAGTGAAAACACAATCCATGCAATGAAACCAATGGCTAAAAAAATTAATCGAAAAGGTATTTAGTTTACTCTTTGTTGTCCTAAACTATTGCAATTCTTTTGGACTTCTTTGTGATTGCTCGGCCATCAAATGCATAATTTTCTCTATGTGGCTACATCTTTATTTCACCGAAACCCAAACTTTTATGGTGAAATTCTAGGATATTTGAAATATTATTTTCATGCTTGCATAATAAACCTAATCAAAATAAAAATATTATCAATGATTCATCCTTTTCTCCCATCACCGAATTAAAAAATTACCATCAACAATCTCTTCATTATTCTCAACAACACTGACATCTCCATCACTAAATCCACTATCTGTGCCATTAGCATACTCGTTCTTCATCTCCTGCAGCTCATTGAAAGCAAAAATCTAATGGTAAAACATTTAGAGGTGTGAAATACCATTTTCAAGAATTTCAATATACCTCGTCTATGACTCCATGTCTTGAACTCTATCTAAGCTTGCTCTTCTTCATCCCTAATTATCTTCAAAATAGTGTACGCTTATGGGTGTTCACGATGTTTTACTAAGTGAGCTCTATGTGAAAATTAAACTTCACCGGTTTGTAGGGCATGAAGAAGTAAAGGTTCTCTTATCTAATACTATCTTGGAATAGTTTCTGAGTAGACGTTCCAAAAAACCTAACTCCCTCGAGTTGAGAATAAAAAAGTCATATTTAAAAATTTGTCCACAAATTGGAGCTGGTTGCCGAATTTATAAAATGAAAACAATTGAGATACACTTTTTGGCCAAAAACTCATGTTATGTGGGTACTATTTCTTTTATGAATAAATGAGTTTGAAGTTAAAAAGAATAGATTGTTACCTAGCTACTATTATTTTTTTATATTGTTATATAATTCTTATATAAGCACTCATCCTAGTGATCATCTTCAACAGTTCTTTAACACGTTTCAATCAATATAACTTTTATAACACGATTTATTTTAAAATCATAGTTGAAACGGATGAGATATAACCCATTGAATTTTTAGAAGATTAAAAAACCCTTAACAGTAGCCCTTCAGATCCGTGTCAACTATAAATAAAGGAGGTTATGCGTCAAAATCTCATCCTTTATCATTGGTTATGTGAAGAACTGGAGCATTGTTTTGCCAAATAATATACCAAATATAAAGTAAGAATCAGGAAATTATTTTTTATACTAAGTCTCCTTTCCATTAGTAATCATTGAGTAAACATATGCAATGCATGACACATAACTTTTGAGTTATGCACATGATAGACTCTCAACAAATATCATGCACATTCATTGTGTCGTATTAATGTAGGAAAGAAACTCCATATATTAGTAGAAAGATATACACTCTTTGTTCGATTTATAAAAGTATTTTACTTAATCACACTTTATTCTAATTATTCATCTCGAATTACTCTACAAAAAATAATAAATTAAGCAATCTCAACAGCTAACACAAAACTTGACCATTAATAGATTAAAAATAAATAAATTGATGAATTATCTATAGAGTGAATTCTCTTAGAGCAACATTTTTTTCTCAAAATATATATCAAAATAGATGTTATTTTGTAGAGTTTAACCAATTGGATTTTTCTATATACAAAAAATCGAAATCCAATTTACAACATATGAGATATGATCAATTATAAATCCTCTCACTAATATGGGGAATTGATCCCACACAATCCTAATCGTATACTGTCACCATTGTGATAATATTTTTTTTTTTGGGTGGAAACTCATTATTATAATAATATTAATAATAATACTTCCATTTTTATCTGATTGGAAAAACCATTTAGTAGAAATTTTGCTTCTTTCTTTTTTGTAAGACAAAAATATATATATTTCTTATATAATTATTTGATTTGGAAAGACAAAAAAGTCATTCTTAAAATTACTCAGAAGTCTCGAATTTTAAAATTGAGTACCTTCTGTCGGAGAACCTCCATAATATAATGGGATGAAGTTCGCTCAGTTTAGTGATTCTGTGTCGTGTGCAGAACCAATCTGAAAAGCGGATTGGATTGGAACTGGAAATAGGGATGGCAACAAAACCCGAATCCACGGGTACCCACCCGACCCAACCCGGTCAACGCGGGTAAAATCCGTGTTGACGGGTTTTGGGCCGGGTTTGGGTTTAAACCGGTTCACTATTCACCGAGTTGGTTTGGGTTTGGGTTTGGGTTTAGGTAAACCCGTCCCATGGGTACCCAGCCACACCCATATAATTAATATTATCTATATATTTTATATTCTAAACAACTAATCTTATTTATGTTTGTGGAGACATGTCTAATTTTTTCTTTCTAATTGTGTAGAATGAAGTTGATGTTATTGAGTGGAGAGTGAAGAAACTTAATTGAAAGGAAGAAGCTTTCAATTAATCATGTTATTTATGGATAATTTGTGATTTGCTTCAATTTTCTTGAGTTTTCTAGATTGGTGTTGAACAATTTGTATAGTTAATTTGTGATTTGCTTGAATTTTCTAGAATGGTGTTTTATATATGGATAATTTGTATTGAGAGATTGATATTTGACTTTAATTTTGATAGGAACTTGTTATTGTAAATTTTTTACGACAAAAACCCGTGGGTACCTATGAACCCGTGGATACCCAGCGGGTTGGGTTGGGTTTGAATTTTTCAAACCCAGTGGGTTTTACCCCGATTTTTTTTCACGGATAAACCCATGGATTTGGGTTTGGGTTTGACAAAACCCGACCCAACTCGACCCATTGCCATCCCTAACTAGGGCTGGGAAACAGTTTGGTTCGGTTTAAACTGGACCGGATTGACCCAATTTTTTAAAACCGTATTGGAGAACTCCACAACCGAAGACGGGATTGGTTGTTACCGGGTTTAAACCCCCAACTTCCATCTACCTTCGTGATTCTTTTTCTCCTTCTTCCTCTTCTAGATCAAACCAAATACACACAAGCATGGCCTTCTTCTCCCTCGAGCACTCCTCTGGCTCGATCTACCTATGATCTCGATAGAAGTTAGAGAGGCGAGAAGAGTTGGAGCTGGAGAAGCGATTGGAGTCGCGCGAGCCGGGAAGAGGAGATCGAGCGAGAAAGGCAGCATGCAAACTCTGGAGAGGCAATGCATGTCGTCGCCCGTCGCGTGTCGAGCGATTAGTTCTCCTCAGTCGCCGTCACCATCGCCATCGCTGGGAATTTGGAGAGCTCCGTCGCCGTCACCACTCACCATCGCCGCCGCTCGGATTTTCTTCTTCTCCTACTATTGTGTGGTGGGTCGGTGATTGGAAACGAGAGAAGCTTGAGGGTCAGAGGGAGAGAGAAGTGAGAATAGAGGAGGCGGCGATTAGGGTTTAGGCCTTTAGTGTGGTGGTGGCTGGGGGCGGGGGTGGGCTGGGGGCTGGGGGCTGGCGGTCGACTGGGGGCTGGGGGCTGGACTGGGCTTGGGACTGGGGCGCGCTGGGGGTGAGGTGGGTTGGGGTTTGTTTATTTATTGGTATCCGGTTTTCCGGTTTTAACTGGATCGGATCGGGCTTGTGGGCATTACAACCACAAACTGGATTGGATTGGTTGAGATCCGATTTCCTGTTACAACTGGCCGGTTTCCGGTTTGACTGGAAAACTGGGACTGGATTTTCAGCCCTATCCCTAACTGGAAACGAAAGGGCAAACGACAAAGCTTGCTTACCAGGCCGATTCCACGTGTCGCCGGTGGTTCATTGAGCTGCTTGGTTTGGTAGCCTACCTATGGGCTCTGTCTATTATATATTGGGCTTTGCTGGAATTGATGGTCCTTAGTGGGGAGGACTTTCTGTGTGGACAGCTTCGAAGCCCAGAAGCACGGTAATAGCTGTGAAGAAAATGAAATTGTGTTGGCTAAGGCAAAACCAATGATATTAAAATCGAATTGGAGTATGCACCACTAGAGCGAGTGGTTCAAATTTTATAGGGTTAGCCGGTAATAGATCGTTAAAAAAAAGTATATTATAATTACTACACATATAATAACACCCTAAATCATATATAAGAAATAAAGTATATTAGAGTTAGTTTGAATATATGTATTTCAAACACAATGTATTTGAAATGCATGTAATTAAAATTCGTTGTTTGAATGCTCATTTGTAATTTGTTGGCATTTCAGATTTTATGATTTTTTATTTTAGTTTTGAATTCAATGGCCACATTTTTGTACCTTTATATTGTTTTCCTTACACTACGGTACTTGAACTTTTAAATTTTTACAAACAGATCCAATCTGTTGCTATGAAGAATTTCAAATCACTAGTTGTAGATATAATTTCACAAGTAAGACACTAAACAAGTAAACATGTATTTGGAAACCACCTCATAAATTTGATACAAATCCAATATAATTAATAATATTAATTTAGCCATGTGGCCCATACCACGCTTGAATGCATAATCTAGTAGCTATCCATAGCCTAAGAGGATGTACATCTCCAACAACGAGGGTAGTGTTGTCAATTTCACCCCGTTCCATGGGTATTATCCGACATGATCCGTGATGAGGCATGTATTACCCGACCGGCAGGAGCATGGGGCGGGGCATGGGTATCTACTTTCTCATATTTTGACTTTTGTTCAATTAGTTATAATCAATCTTTCAATGTCAGAAACATAATTGTTGGGGTCTATTTGTTATTTGCGTATTATTCGGATATTATGTTGGGATGTGATTTATGAGGGTTTATTCGGTTAGGTTAATTATTCGGGGAGTAAACAGGAAATAGTCGGTTTATATATAAGTCATGTTATGTTAGGTCAAGGGAAGCAATAATACATAATTGTTCCCAAACTCCCTCTCTTCCTCTCACCTTGGCCGAACCCCCTCTTCCTCCTCTCACCATCGGCGGCTTCCCACCCCGGGAAACCGATTCTCTCTCTCTCTCTCTCTCTCATCCAATTCCCCAATTCTTTCTCACCTAAATTCCCAATCCCTAATTCGTTCAATCCCTAAATCGCACGCCTAGATCCGTGGTTCTCACGGTGGTATCAGAGCCTGGTTGGCGTGTTGATTGTTGAATTCTGCAAAAGTTGAGGATGTCGAACATGGACAAACCGCAGCAACAGAAGTAGGGTAAGGAGATCATGACCGTGAAAGACATAACGACGAACAAATATGACACGATCGTCACGATGCTGGAAATCCTAACGGAGAGGGCATCTGCTACCTTGCGGAATTCGACAGGGGCCCTAGAGGCGCTCGGGGAGCGGATCACCACCTCGATTGAAGAGATGAGCAAGACAGTGACGGATAAGCTATGCCAGGCCCTAGCAGACACAATGAAGGAGGTCTTGATCGGCGTTATGCAGGGGCAGGAACCAAACCCTGAGAACCGCCCCGCGACGCTGAAGATGATGGCGGCGGCGGTGCTGGGAGCGGCCGCGACACCGGAGGCCAGCCCGCCAGGAGATGCGGCGGGCGCGCGTAGCGAAGCAGCGGCAGGCGCGAACGGCGGGGAGGCCGGGGGCTCGACTGGAGCCTCGGTGGTGGCTGGGGGCGCGGGCGGCGCCTCGGCGGCGGCCAGGGCGCAGGGGGTGGCAGCTGGCAGGGGGGCTGCGGCGCAGGGGAGTGTGGCCGGGGAGTCGGGCGCCAGGGCCGGCAGGGCGCAGGGATGGCCGATTCTTTGGGCCGAGGGCGGCCGAGGGAACGGGCAGGGGAGAACGGGCCACGCCTGCCTTTAGTGGGCCGGGCCTGCTGCCTGCTTCAACGGCCCAGGAGATTGCGGAGGCCCGCGGGAAGAAGAAGGTGGTCGAGTTTGAAGACTTGGGCCCGGACTATGAGGAGATGAGTTTCGCGGACCAAGAATAGTGGGAGATGGATCTTGGGCCCGATGGGCCCGACAAGGATTGGGTGGCTAACCCAAGGATGGACCAAGCCGGTCAGCCAGCTGGGTCAATGACTGGTCGGACCAGCTTCGGTCGGATCGAGATGGGTCGAACTGAATCGACCCGACCCGAACCGGGGCGCTTTCCGCGGGGCAGCGGGTGGAATGGGTCTAGCGGCGGACCCGGCCGCGAGAGAATGGGTCCAGAGTCGGGTTATGCGCCATGGGGCACTCCACGAGCGGATTACGGACGCCGGGGGCGCAAGATGGAAGAAGGACAAGGATCCGGAATCAAGCCTGGCGGCGAGGAAGACTATCAGCGTGAGATGGCCGACGGGGCCTATTTGGAGAGGCGGACTGCGGACTCGGAGTACCGGCACTATGGGCCGGGTCGCCTAATGTAACCGTTTGATGGCAAAAGGTATGGATACAGCAACCCACTGTATGATTATGAGGATGATCTGGTGTTTAGAGCTGAACCCCCGGTGATTGAATTTCCGAAATTTGATGGTACGGGTGATGTTGGGTTATGGGGGAACGACTACGGTGCTAATTGTACAATAGTTAGCACCGTCCTAACCAAGGGAAAAACTACTACTAGTTTGAATTAGTAGTGATTTAGCTTAGATGTTGTATTGATTTTATAATAATCCGTAGTGATTTTTGCTAGTTATCACGGTGCTAACCCCTATAAGGGTTAGCACCTAATCCCATCCCGGGTTATGGCTGTATGCGGAGGAGAGGTGGTTTAAGAACCACCCAATCAGGGCAGAAAGGAAGGTGCACCTGGCGTCCTTCTATTTGGAAGGGGATGCCCTCCACTGGTGGGAATGGACTGAGCGAGCATATGCGGCAGCTGGCAAGGGCATCTCTTGGGCTCGGTTCCAGGAGGAGCTCCGGTACCAGTTCGGCAGAGTAGAGGGATGGGAACCAGAGCAGTTGGCCAAGCTAAAGCAAACAGGGTCCGTAGCAGAGTAGAGGGCCGAGTTTTTGAAATTGGGAAATCAATGCAAGGAGATGACCGAGGAGACGCTAGTGCGGCTGTGCATGGCCGGATTGCGGCCATAACTGGCCACCGCAGTCTAGGTTTTCGAACCTGAATCTCTTCGTGTGGCTTTTAGACTTGCAGGTCGGAGGGATGAGGAGCTAGCCAGCTGGAGATCCTCTGTGGGCAGGATGTAGAAGGCCAGTGGGGAAGCAGGTGGCGGCACAGGTGCTGGGGCGGTGACACCGCCGACGGCGAAGTCGAGCCCATCCGCCGCAGGGACCGCAGTCGGGGCCCGATTTCCAGTAAGGGCACCGCCGCGCGGGTTCGTAAGGCTGACTCAGGCGGAGATGGATCAGAAGCGCAGGGATGGGCGTTGTTTCAACTGTGATGAGAGGTACACCGTGGGACATCAGTGCGCCAAGGGGCACTTAATGTTGCTGGTGGGAAATTGGGAAGATGAAGGCGAGGAAATGGATCTCGGAGCGGAAGGAGGGGAAATGAAGGAGGACGACAAGAAAGATGGTCCACCTTGAGGGCAAGGTGGGTGTCAAGGGGGATGGATTGTCAGAAACATAATTGTTGGGGTCTATTTGTTATTTGCGTATTATTCGGATATTATGTTGGGATGGGATTTATGAGGGTTTATTCGGTTAGGTTAATTATTCGGGGAGTAAACAGGAAATAGTCGGTTTATATATAAGTCATGTTATGTTAGGTCAAGGGAAGCAATAAGACAGAATTGTTCCCAAACTCCCTCTCTTCCTCTCACCTTGGCTGAACCCCCTCTTCCTCCTCTCACCATCGGCGGCTTCCCACCCCGGGAAACCGATTCTCTCTCTCTCTCTCTCATCCAATTCCCCAATTCTTTCTCACCTAAATTCCGAATCCCTAATTCGTTCAATCCCTAAATCGCACGCCTAGATCCGTGGTTCTCACATTCAACTTGTCAAACTCAACTACCCATTCTATTATCACTACTTTTTATTCATAAAGTGTTTTCCCCTTCATTTTATAGTAAAAATTTGCATTTTTTTCAAATAACGTGTAAGAGTGGCTCGACCCACCCTGCTCCATACCCGCGCGAGTTTTACCCGCCCCTCTCCACCCCATAGTAGCGTGGGGCGGGACATGGAAATTGAGGTACTCATCCCGCCCCATTGCCATCACTAGATGAGGGCAACTTTGAGGTCATTTGGTAAGCACATAATGTAGAATTCATGTATTTGAAGAACTAATGTATAGTGTAGGTTGAGTTGTGAGAACTTGAGTAATATCAGAATGCATATTTTGGCTTGCATGAATACTAGGCCTGTTAGTCGGTGCGATTTCGGTTTAACCGAACCGCAAAGTCGGTTAGCCGACACCGAGAAGTAGGCAAAATTGAAAACCGCAACCGCCACCGATCGCATTTTTGGTTAGTCGATAACCGCAACCGACGGTTTCGGTGTGAATAGGCGGTTAGCCGACAACGACTGGAGATGGAGAGGTCGACGATAAAATTTTCAGGAAGGGGCCCGACAGGCCGCAGCGGCGGCCGAGGACAACAGATTTAGGTAAACGATGACTCTGCGAGGTGGCGACCAGACAAAGGCGGTGAGGATGTTGACGGTGTTGATTCGAGCGCTTTGACCGACGCACGGCAGAGTGAGGATGTGGGCGGCGACGGAGTGAGGATGTGAACGACGTCTCTCCTCAAACCTCCTCTCCTCCATGCATGTCACTTGAAGTCCAGGAGGAAGAAGGGTATGACAGATTATGATGTGAAGGAGGAAGGCGAGATCTAGATTCAAGATTGCGATTAGCGATGGAGAGTTAGATGGGCGGCGCCGGCGAGGATTGAGGACGACGGTTGGCCATGACTAGAGATACGAATTTGCTGGGAAGTGAGATTGACCGTCGGCAAGATCGAGATTGGGAAGGACGGTAGTGAGGACGGCGGGTCGGCAAAATCGAGATTGCAAAGCAACAGCGAGCGGTGAAGCCGCGTAGCTAGATTGGGAGGGGAAGATGGGTGGTGAAATCAAGATTGGAGAGGTATGAGAGGAAATTGGGAGCTAGAGACTTGGGAAGTTGGGTTTTGGGCGGATGGGAAATTGGGGATGAGGAAGGAAGTCTTCGCACTCTGGGAACTGGAATTTGGGAAGGAAATAAAGGGGCTGGGCGGTTATATCGGTGGACCGATTTTCTTGTCGGTTAACAACTGATAACCGCCGGTTACCTAATAACCCAAAATACACCAACCGCAACCGACACCGAATCTTTTTTATCGGTTTTCGGTTAGCCGACTAACCGCAAATTTCAGTTCGGGTTTTCGGTTGACCGAGTAAATGGCCACCGACTATCACCCCTAATGAATACATAGTAGGACCCACACAATTTGACATGATATCTCAAATACTTTGGGTAAACCCAAAACATTTAAGATATAATGGTCAGATGAATGCTGGAATTACTTGGTGCACTAATTAGAGGCTAAAATCGCCAACCACAACCGTTTGTATTTATCAGTTAGCCGCAACTGCACCCGATAGGTTCGATTAGACGGTCATCTGTTTGAAGATGGGAAGAAGAAAATTGATTTCTTCCCTCTGTTATCTTAAATTTCTGATCTTCTATCCAACACTTCTTCTCTACCTGCGATGAACATGCATGGAAGAGGTGCTTGATGTGGCCGGATATTTGGCTCGGATGTCGCTGTGGCTTTGATATGTTTCATAGTCGCCGCCTGTCCGGCACTGCTTCAATCTTCCACCCCACTATCTCCGCAGAGGATGGGTGGAGGATGAGTGTGAACCAGAGGTCGATGGAGGATAATGTGTGGTCGCACGACTCGAGGCTGACGACAAAGGATAGAAGGAAGGGATAGGGATGTGGAGTCTAGGGAGTGGGGATTTTATTTGGGATTTTATCAATTGAGGGTTTTGTTTCTGATTAGGAGAAAATTCGAAGGGTTAGGAGGAGGCGATGCTGAGTTGAGATAGAGGGAGGCCGAGAGACTCGCGAGGGTGAGTTTTTTAGGAGAGTGGTGGAACGAGGATGGCGAGCGACGAGGGGATGACAGAGCGATGAGGGTTCTTCTATTCGTCGTTCCTCAATGGAGGGGTTGAGATTAGGGGAAAATGAGAGGCGCGATGCTAGAGCAGTTACTTCATAGTGCACTCACTCATTATCGGTTATTAACTTACATTTGCCCAAATATCCAACATGCTCCATTCGTTCAATCGACACTAGCAACAGACTCTCAATAATTGTTACTAGCAATGGGCCCGGCCCGTTGGCCGGTGTAGTATAAAATTGGAATGTGTACTCTGTTGAATTATATTGGCTAATGTAGTATAAAATCCTGAAACAATACATACGACTCAAGCAATTTGAATTTGTAACTTCGACAATTCCGTCAGTAAGTATTGGTCCAACATTGGAAAGTACGGGTTTGGCAAACAGGTGAAAAGTTATCTGCTGATGGTGCATTTAACTAATGTTTTTATCGTGATGCTCTTCTATATAAACCTCATTTTAGTTATGTCTATTGCAATTAATTTTTGTTTAGAAGGAGAGGACTTAAAACTTTTCATGCAAATGGAAAAAAGAGATGGTAACACAAATAAATTATTATTGTTAACTTGAAATTCCAATTGTCTATGAAAATGATAAATAAAATTATGGATAATCTATGAATCTAAATTTTATGAACACTAAGCAATTCACGAACATCTCATAGGTGAAAAACACACTCTAAAACTATAAGGTTCATAACGTGGATCTTAACTACATAATGATCCCAACAATAGTACTTTTCTTCCTTGGTGTTAGAGTCGACCCAATGTTCCCTTTTAAATCTCCTTAAGCACCCTCTCCAAGATCTTCATGGCTTGCAACAATGTTGCTAGTTTCCTCCAAGTTTGCAGCAACCAAATCTGCTTCATCTCTTTGGTTGTGGTCATGAGAAGTCTAGGAAGTTATCTTCGAGATAGGTATTGCACTTGTGAGGGATTGGCTTGATGTCTGACTCATTGGCTGTAGTGAAATTAGAGTAATCAAAGAAATGAAAATGATGAACTAAGGTTGTAACTAATAGGTAATAAAATTGCTTTAGCGCTCAAATGTTAATCACTTACCCCAAGTGAATCGTGCTCCACGCTAACTACATAATACTCAGTTTGAGGGTTCAACACTGAGTAAGTTTAACATGCAATTTCAGTTTCATGTTAACAACTTGCTGGACTTGTGAATGATTTGATTTTTTCTTCCTCTAATTTTCTTGTAATTAAACTCCAGCCATTAGTAGCACCTTGTAACAGGTCCCTGTCAAAAAGAAACTCTAGTCATTACACCAAAGAAATGGGGACCTTCACTCTCCAAAATTGCAAATAAGTTTCAGCAGAATTATCTTGCATATGGAGTTTTACTCTCACCTATGACTAATGGAACTAAAGTCAACAATGACATGAGTCTGTATGCCAATATCTCCATGTGAATCAATTTCATAACACATATCAGACAATAAAAACTAAATTTGAAAGATGCAGTTTGTCGAAAAACTGAATTAGTTGATCGGCTTACTTGACTTTTGCAATTTAAGAAGTTTTCTTATAGTGTCTGCGAAAGTAGTCCAATCCTCTTCAACTTTGTGAGGGCATTCAAGACACCCCATGTCGCACCAGTTAGATTGTACTTGAATCACTTGGCCTTCTACAGCAAACACTCTCTCCTGAAAATTCGTAGCAAGTAACTTAATAACAGATAAATCAGAAGTGTTCAACAGATTCCAAATTCTATAGAAAAAAGATTACAATACGCTCGTCCATATTTTTGAATTCATTGAGCTGAGCTATGTAAATGTTTAGAACCTTAAGAGCTAGTTTATCAATAATCAAAACAGGTGCATTGAGCTTTTTATCCCCAAAATACAATCATACATGGTCTTGACCTCTTATCATAATTCAAATTAATAGTATGATTTCATGCAACAAAGTAACAAACGAATGGCAACCCCAATATCAAATTGATGAACTTCTAGAATATCCATCTTTGCCTTCAAAAGTATAGCGCCCTATTGATGACATGCAAATCTCCCGTTAAATAAAAGTAATGACATAATTAGTTTCGACTCTCAGATTTTCAAAGAAAGATGGCAAAAAGAATTTTGATTTACTAAAGCCTTTAAATTCATAAACAACACATAAGCAATAGGCATAAGAATTGTTGCCCTTCACTTTGAGATATAATTTCATCCAATTGGTTTCCAACAGTTCCCCACAAAGTGATCTTTACCATCTCCCCTCTGTTAGCAATTAACCAACCACAGTAAAGCAAAGTAAGCAATTAAATCGATTGGTGATGGTTTACTAACGAAATCAATGAAAAAGGGAAGAAGTGAGTTAAAGTTACAAAATTAGTTTGATTGCGGTATCTTTCCATTGTTTGATGTTTTTGAGGTGACTGGAAAATACTGAACCGATTGCCCAGTCACATCTGGGGTACAGGGGAACATTAGAACCTTAAAATAAGTATGATTTATCGATGAACGTCACAGGAAATACCACCTTACTTGATGGATTCTTCTCATCATACAACTTCTTCATTATTTCAGAGTGTTTGAAAAGGTTGAAATTGATGGAGGGTATGCTTCAGACAATTTGAATTGTACCAAGGTGGCTAAATCAAACTCTAACATCAGAAGATTGAAAACGTGTCTGAATTGGTTCTATTTTAGAGAAACTTTGAAATGTCTAATCTCATAGACTTCTTGCTCTCTCATTCTTGATTCAAATTTACGAATCAAGCGATGAGAAATTATAGCTTAACTATCTTTCCCCTAGAACACAAAGAACCCACAAGAACCTAGAGCCTAAGTAAGATGTCAGATTTTGTTTTGAATTGATTCTAAAGAACGCTTACCTCTGAATTGATCAACACCAAGTCCATTGGTTGAAATTCGTGACACCCAGAACCCTCATCACCAAATCCAAAGCTGCTGATTTCAAAAGGAAGCTTATTTTACCACATAAATCATTCCTGGAGCATTTTTTTGGCTCACTAAGAAGCTATGTTATTGAGTAAAATTGCATGAAGGAAGAAATTAGCAGCGGAAAAGGAAAGCCAAGGGTCGGCGGGGACTCACCGATGCTTGAATGCAAATCGATTTTCGATAGCGGGGTTGAGTGAGGAACTGTTGCTATTTAGTAGGATTAGAGGAAGGAACTTCGGATTGCATATAAATATCGGAATTCCGGATTGACGGTGCGACGATGGGAATGGATTGAAGGTAGGGAGGACGAAGCGGCGACGTGATTGAAGAGGAACACATAAGCGACGACGCCAAAGGGAAAAGGGCAACGCAGAACGCATGATGGTAGGGATTTCTTGAGGGAGGAAGGTGAGAGAGACGAAGGGTCTGAACTCTGAACTGATGGCTGGGGCGGTTCGGTGACAGGATGGCGAGAAAGAGAAAACTATGGATTTACCCAAAAGGCCCTCCTGCATTGTGCGGTTTGTTCAGGAGTAGCTGACGTGGCAAAACGATTTTATTGACATTGCCTTATAGTGTTTTGTAGATTGTTTGGTCGACAAATCGATATTTTCAATTCGATCAGGCGATTAACCGAATAGCTAACAACCATTTATCACCCCTAATTGTGATATTTACTCCAAAGTGAAACATAAGTTTATCATATAATCTTAAAATCAATGGACAGATTACGATCCGTTTGGGACTTTCCTTGCCTACTCGACCCATTTCTCTATTGTAGAAGTACATGCTTGGGAGAAGTACCCTTCCAATTATACGATCCTGCTCCCTGACCCTGGATAGGACAAAGCAACTTGGCCCTATGTTCCACGGACGGCACGAAATGTACCACTCAGCATATAAAACCAACCAAAAAACAAGAACACTAAAAAATAAGGGAAGATTCCTAATACAGTAATACTGAATGGGATTGGCAGCCAATAAGAACATCATCGCTGCCATTGCTAATCGCCCCCAAGAATTTGTGCGTCAGCTCCCACTTCCAATTATCTCAACAACACCTCCCTTCTTACTACACTTCCCAACTGCCCACTCTCCGCTACTCCCTACTCTCACTAAGCTCGCACCTTGTCCAGCGCCCATGTAAGTTCCTCCCTTCCCTTCATCATTCCCCGCTGCTCTTTTCTCGTTCTGATTTCCCTGATATTCTGCTAGTCTTTCGAAAATCGAAACAAGGGATTTTTGTTCTGCCATACAAGGTGTTTTAGGGTGGCAAAATTGAAGAGATAGCATTGCTTGTGTTGATTATTCCTGTGATTGCCATTTGCCTCCGTGTGTAGTGGAAGAGTTTCAGCTTCTGCGAGAATGGAGGGTTCCAAAGCTGCTCCAGCGAAGACGCTGCCGCTGGGATTGGACCCAACGATGGAGGAAGAGTACGAATCGCAGTCCAAGTTGCTCAGAGAGTTCGCTAGTATCTCAAGCATTGACAAGGCGTGGACTTTCAAGTCTGAGAATGGTCTGATGACTCTTTCTTTGACTGCCCATTTTAGGATTGGTCTGCCGTCTCATGATTTTCTGTTTCTCCATTTTGCTAACTGACATTAGATGTTGTGATGCAGGAATTGGTTCGCAGGCAATGTTTGCAATTAGCCAACCGAATCTTCTGGCTAATAAAAGGAGGAAATCCATTCTGTCTGCTAATGTGTCAAAGGGGAGTAGCAGTTCAATGAGCTTTCAGTGGGCACCTTTTCCTGTTGAGATGACTGCTGTCGCTACAATGGTTCCTTCCCCTTCAGGTTCCAAACTTCTAGTGGTTAGGAACCCAGAAAGCGAGTCACCTGTTCAGTTTGAAATCTGGAGTCAGTCTCAATTGGAAAAGGACTTCCAGATTCCCCAGTCTGTTCATGGATCAGTGTACACTGATGGCTGGTAGACCAATCTGTTCACTTACTGAGTTTGTTATTTCATAAATATGTGTGTGGATGTTGAAAGCTTTCCTTATTTTTTTTTTTAGGTTCGAGGGGATCTCATGGAACTCGGATGAAACTCACATTGCATATGTTGCCGAGGAGCCAACTCCTGTCAAGCCGACATTTGATGGTAAAGGGTATAAGAAATGTGGTTCTGCTGAAAAGGATTGTAGTAGCTGGAAAGGCCTGGGGGAATGGGAGGAAGAATGGGGAGAGACATACGCTGGGAAAAGGCGACCTGTGGTCTTTGTTATTGATACTAGCAGGTCTTCTTTCTGTCTTTGCCTTTAATCAATCATCACCCTTTAGAGCGAATTCGGAGTGAGTGATCTAGGAAATTGTCATATGGTGACTTTGATGCTTCTCATTTTGTCCAGTGGAGAGGTTCAGCTTGTTAAAGGTATTGCAAAACATTTAAGCGCTGGCCAAGTTGTTTGGGCTCCTTCTATGGAAAGCTCGCCTCAGTATTTGGTTTTTGTTGGATGGTCATCGGAAAGAGGGAAGCTTGGCATAAAGTACTGCTATAATAGGCCTTGTGCTTTATATGCTGCCAGAGCACCATTATTTGGAACAGATGCCAAAAGTGAACAGAAGTGAGTGACTAATCATTCAGTTCCATCTAGTTTCTTCTACTTGATAAAGGTTTTCGTCCTGACAACCGAGTTTCCTGACTATCATTTGATTTGCTGTTTTATTCTTCCAGAGAGATTCCTGCTGTAGACTCAAATGTGATTAACGTAACTGAAGGCCTTGGTAGTGCTTTCTTTCCTCTGTTCAGGTATTTAAATAATCTTTCTTGGTCTTGTGAGTATGCATATATTTAGACATTACTATTAGCAGAGCTACTGAAATAAATGCACTTCCATCTCTGTTTGTTTTCTATCCAGCCCAGATGGAAGGGTTCTAGTGTTTTTATCTGCCAGTAGCTGTGTGGAATCAGGTGCACATTGGGGAACTGAATCACTCCATAGAATTGATTGGCCTTCTGACTTAAAGACACTCTCATCTGCCAAAATAGCTGAAGTGGTAAACTAATCATCTTTCTTTTTCCTAAATATATTTTGCCAGTGGTCAATGGTATTCTTCTGCCTAGTAAGTGTCTTCCATATGCAGATTCCAATCGTTCAGTGTCCAGAAGATGGTGGCTTTCCAGGGCTGTACTATGGAAGTTTGCTTCGTCATCCATGGCTTTCTGATGGATCCACTATAGTACTAAATTCTGTGTGGCACAGCAGTGAGGTTATACTAACTGTGAATGTCTTAAGGTGATTTGAAGAATTCTATTTCTCTGTCGATGTACTATAATTTTTTTGTATTTTGTTGGTGTTACTAAATTCCTGTTTGTCTTCCAAATATCAGTGGAGATTTGAAGAGAATCAGTCCTGCTGACTCTAGTTCTGCATGGCATGCTCTTACACTGGATGGTGACAACATCATTGCTGGTACTTTCAATTGCCGATGTTTAGCAGTTCCTATGAGGATTGAGTAAATAGAAAGGAAAAACTCTTGACACAATTATTTTTTTCTTCTTTTTGTTTGAAGTTTCAAGCAGCCCAGTTGACCTCCCTGAAATTAAGTATGGGTACATAGAAGTCCAAAATGCTGCTTGGAATTGGTCAAGCGTGCCTAGTCCCATGATTAGATGCTCTGAAAGGGTGCTTATTAGCTGCTTCTTCATACATGCATGTGTTATGATCTCTCTTATGGTTTATTTATCATGTCTTGATGCTGTGTATACTTTTACAGGTTGAATCACTGCTCTCGTCTCGTGAATTTAGCATTCTGAAGATCCCAGTCAAAGATGTGTCTGCTAACCTGCCAAAAGGTACTGCTTACAATATAAGCTTTTAAAACCAATTCTGTCATCCATCATATAAGATTCTGGTTGATGAAATTTGAAAGATACAGATGTCAAGAATCATATAATATCATGGTTGATGAATTCTCACTGCTTAGGGGTTAGTTTGATAGCCATGTATTTTCAAATACAGATGTTAAGAAATCAGGTACTTTTTATGAGAATGTGAGTAATGTGAGAATACAATTTTTCGCTTGCTGGGATTGTAATAGCAGACCCCACAATTGAATATATCGTTCAAACCTTTAGTTAAACCCAAAATTTCCACATGGTTTTTCTTACAAAATTCAGACAAGAAAAAAGTTGAATTGTCAAATGCCACACAAGCTCATAATCAGTATGAACAATCACTTGTTACCAAACAACCTCTTAAGTAGTAGGCAGTGGCGCGGTGCACTCTGTGGAGAAATAGAAGAACTATATGCTATACACCTGCTTGTACTGCACTGGTGAAAAAGGAGAAGACTAACTCTTGGCTGTATCAATTAGGGGTTGCTGATTAATGTCTGATATACTTCTTTCATGGTATGTTGTTGGACAATGCTGTGATGAGATCTTAATGGTTGGATCATTAGCCCTGAGAGTAAGATTATTAAATTAGTATAGTACTTTGTTTACATACATTGTTTATTTTCTGTTAAATTAGTTATTGCTTAGTTAGGGGCTTACGTCTCTGTTTGTGGAGCTTGTGGCGTTAGAATTAGGAATTGTTTTAGATTACCATTTTACTTTCTGTTGGCGGATTAGCAACAGTTCTTATTAAAGGGCCTTCGGCTTTGGAATAAAGGACATGAAGGAGAAGATTAATTAAAGTACTCGTCATTTCTCTCCCGAAGAGAAACACTGTGGTTCCGTTCTTACCTCAAGAGAACACTAAATTCGGGGGTTTCATTAGAATTAGGAATTGTTTTATATACTTCTTTCATTAGAATACTAAATGCTGGTCAGGGTGCGATATGCATACAAATTTGTCTGACATGGGAATGCAATCTGGAAATTTCAGGCGCAAGTAAACCTTATGAAGCAATATTTGTCTCTTGCACTTCCAAGAAAAGTGACGAGTTAGATCCACTGATTGTAGTCCTTCACGGAGGCCCACATTCCGTGTCCGTATCTAGCTTCTCCAGGAACCATGCATTTCTGTCATCACTGGGTTACAGTTTGTTGATTGTGAATTACAGGTTAGTGATAAGAAGTTCAACAGTTCAGTTTTTCAGCTTTCGGCTTTGTCTTTACTTCCATAGAACTTTTAAGACTATTAGTAAAGGTGGCGTGTATGGTATCTGGCTGGACTTAGTACTCTTACAATCCAATTTTTGAACTTTAATTAAATTGGCAGAGGTTCATTGGGGTTTGGGGAGGAAGCGTTGCAGTCTCTTCCTGGAAAAGTTGGAACACAGGTGCATGATATGCTTACTCCCCCACTATGTTTTAAACAATTCCAGTTGGCAAGTAAATGGTTCTTGCTATGATGCTATATACAGCTCCATATAACCTTCTTTGCCATGCATTCACAGGATGTGAATGATGTGCTTGCAGCTATAGATCACGCCATTGACAAGGGACTTGCTAGCCCCAATAGAATAGCTGTGGTTGGGGGCTCCCATGGGGGCTTCCTCACAACTCACCTCATTGGCCAGGTCTGATAGCTAAGTCATACAATTCCCGAATGAGTTTTCCCTGAATGAGTGATCTATCAAACTGAATATTTCTTGCAGGCGCCAGACAAGTTTGCTGCAGCAGCTGCAAGGAATCCTGTCTGCAACCTTGCATCAATGGTGGGGACAACAGATATCCCTGATTGGTGCTACTTTGAAGCATATGGAAGTGAGGGGAAGGATAAGTTTACCGAAGCAACTTCAGCTGCTGACCTAGCCATCTTTCACAGCAAATCTCCCATTTCACACATCTCTAAAGTAATAATGCCATCAAGTAGAAAACAAAATAGTCTTTTCCTGTCCTGGAATGATACTGCAAGAAATTCAACATTCAACCAAATTTTTGTAATGATCTTGCAGGTCAAAACACCAACAATCTTTCTCATTGGTGCTCAGGATCTCCGCGTTCCACCGTCCAATGGCATACAAGTAAGTCTTTCTGCCAACTCTATTTATTTACGCCATCAAACTTGGAATGCTGCAGCTTTGCACAAAGAACACGTAACAGGAAGGTCAAAAGAAACTCTGTGAAAGTAGTCTACTCTGCTGCTAATGTGAATTGCGTTGCTGGTTTTAAATGCTTGCAGTATGCTCGTGCCTTGAAGGAGAAAGGGGTGGAGACAAAAGTTATAATCTTCCCGAACGATGTTCATGGGATTGAGAGGTAATCAACATGAACATTCTTCTTATAAGACGTCCTGACTGCCATGCATAGTTCTTGAAACTTTCAGTTTAACCATATATGCAGGCCGCAATCGGACTATGAGAGCTTCCTAAACATCGGGGTTTGGTTCAAGAAATACTGCAAATGAGCTGCCCTTTTGTTGCTGGAGATATAAATCAAATCATTCAGCAATTTGTTATCGCATCAACTATTATAAGTGAACATTGAAACAAGTTGCCTTTCCAAACATTTTCTTAGTCAGTCCTAGATGTCAATGTTCCCACATCCACCTCTGTATATTGATTAATAAACTGTTGTTGTCTTCAGTGGGAATAATTGCTGGCTGGTCTTTCCCCAAATATTTCAGTTTGGTCCATCCCTAATTTTTTTTGCTTTGCAAGTCTTTGGTAGGGGTGGGCATTGACTTGGTCCAGAACCATATAAAATTGAGATAGACCGGATAAACCAAAAATGAGGGCGAAAACTAAATCAAAAATATGTTTGATTCATTTGGTTCGGTTGGTTTCGGTCCAAATTTAATTTTGGTCCATTTTTCTTCATGTTTCAAATAATTCATAGGACCAAAATCAAATAAAAATATATTCGATCCGATCTGATTCATTACAGATATAGATTTCATCCGGTGTGCACTGAATCGTTGCTCATCCCTTTTCTTTAAAATAAGGGAAAAAGGACTCTGTTGGCTTGGAACATTGACCTTGGAAGAGTACGATTTGAGATGTTACGTTTAGTGATTCATCCAAAGATTTCAGGAGCTACCAACCCATATTGAGAAGTTTCTGTTTCTCATATTTATAGAGAGAAAACTTTGAAGGCTATTTTAAGAAACACACTTATTAGGGTTCCTTACGATTCACGATACCGGATAGATAGAAAGGAATTTAGCGATTGAGAGAAAGAATTAGCAATTAGAGAAGGATAATTGAGAAGTAGATAGGACGAGCATAATTGGGGATTAGGAATTTCGAAGAGATTAGGAAAAGAAGAGAGTGATAAACTGAATAGGTTTTGTCTATTGATTTCTGATCAATTTTGATGTTATTCGCCAAGTACATTTATATAAAAAATAATCTCGAAACCTACTAATGCCACTCGGTCCACAATTAGCCACAAACCCCCTGCAACCAATAGTAATAACATTGAGATATTGATATTATTAGAAAACAACTATCTACCTTTGGGTTTTCACCCTATTTGAGTCTATAATAATGTACTATCCAAACGAGTTTTGCATGTCCATGATTATCGCGGTTCTATGAATTTCAATTTTGAATGAAAGTTAAGATGCTGATATCCATTTATAAAAAAACAACAGAAACTTGACTTTGTTAGAAAAACTATTACATGTCTATAAAAAAAAAACAAAAAACTATTACATGATTACATGAATAAGCAAGGTAAAACCTGGAGAATTTAAAGCAGGCGGTAATTTACAACATATCTTTTACCGGCAACCGGTAACAGATTTTCGATTTCAGCCACGGGGGAAAAAAAGAGTCTATCCCGCTGCCGCCATTTTTCCAGTTTCCCAATTTGTTATCCATAAACCCCATTCGTCTCCCTTCTCCAGTTCTCTGCAAAGGGGAACTCGACACCTCTCTTTCCCACAATCAGAATCTTCCTCCAAACATCACCTTCCCGCTCGTCGGAAGGACAATTTCTAAGTTTAAAAAGGTAGGATGTTTGCCAAGTTACAGCTGGATTCTAACTGTTTTCCTGTAGTTTCCACTTTCGCCAAGACCTCGTCCCCAAATGTCGGCGTTTCTGTCCCCACGAAGACCGGAGTATCCATACCTAGCTTCGAGAAAGTTGAACCGACTGTGAAGCTCGGTGAACAGAGAACTGGCGGAACTTCGGAAGCAGAAAAGGTTAGTGGATTTCGGAGAAGTACAGAGAATCAGAAAGCATGTACAGTTTTCGGCCCTGAATTGGAAAACCCAGATGGAAGACAGAGGAGAACTTCACCGAACGCGTCTACAAGTGGGAAAAGGAAGAATCTTGGCGCGAAATTGAACGGGGTGAAGAGCAATGCTCCAGTGAGAAAAGCGCACACCAAGTGTTCGACGAAATGGGCCACTTATGGTGGCTGTATCCCTTCCATTCTACAAGCTTTGGACACCGTAAAAGACTTGGACGAGGCGTTGCGTCCTTGGGAGGATACCCTCAACAACAAAGAGAGGAGCATAATCTTGAAGGAGCAATCGAGCTGGGAGAGAGCCTTTGAGATTTTCGAGTGGTTTAAGAGCAAGAGATGTTATGAGCTGAATGTCATCCACTACAACATCATGCTTAGAAGTCTTGGCAGAGCTAAAAAGTGGAGCCTCGTCGAATCTCTCTGCCGTGAAATGGCCGTCAAAGGAATTGCGCCCATCAATTCCACTTACGGCACTCTAATTGATGTCTATAGTAAAGGTGGCCTCAAAGAGAAGGCACTTGCTTGGTTGGAGAAGATGAACCAGCAAGGAATGCTTCCTGATGAAGTCACCATGGGGATAGTGCTGCAAATGTACAAGAAGTCCGGCGAGTTTCAGAAAGTCGAAGACTTTTTCAAGCAATGGAAAATGGATGAACGTGGGGATAGTGATTCTTCACATGACGACCATTCTTTATCCTTATACACGTACAATACCTTGATTGACACGTATGGAAAATCAGGTCAACTCAAAGAAGCATCCAACATCTTCTCAGAGATGCTGAGAAAGGGGATTATGCCAACAACTGTGACTTTCAACACCATGATTCACATCTGTGGTAACAATGGTCATCTCGATGAAGTCAAATCACTCATCCAGAAGATGCAGGAGCTTCGGTGTCTAGCAGACACTAGAACCTACAACATTCTGATCTCTCTCCACACTAAGCACGATGACATAGATATGGCAGCTCAATGCCTGAGGAAGATGAAGGAGGAACAATTAGAGCCAGACCTAGTGAGTTATCGCACTCTCTTGTATGCATTCTCCATTAGGCACATGGTTATTGAAGCCGAGGGTTTAGTATCAGAAATGGATGAAAAGGGTTTGGAGATCGACGAGTATACTCAGTCAGCTTTGACTCGAATGTACATAGACGTCGGGTTGCTTGAGAAGTCATGGCTGTGGTTCATGAGGTTCCATGGAACTGGAAATATGACCTCTGAATGCTATTCTGCTACTATAGATGCATATGGCGAGCGTGGGTATATTTCAGAAGCCGAGGAGGTGTTTCTTTGCTCACAAAAGAATAAAAAGTTGAGTGTACTAGAGTTCAACGTGATGATAAAAGCATACGGCTACGTGAAGAACTTTGTCAAGGCTTGTGAGTTGTTTGATAGCATCGAAAGCCATGATGTGATTCCAGACAGATGTAGTTATGGCTCTCTAATCCAGATTTTGGCAGGAGCAGACTTGGCTGAAAAGGCACAACACTATCTCAATAAGATGCAAGAAGCAGGATTGATTAGCGATTGCATTACATACTGTGCTGTGATCTCTAGCTTTGCCAAATCGGGAAGACTGGAAATGGCTAAGAAGCTGTACAACGAAATGATCGAGTTTGATGTGAAGCCAGACGTCATCGTCTATGGGATTTTGATAAACGCATCTGCAGAAGCTGGAAACACAGAAGAAGCCATCGGATACATAGACGCAATGAGGAAATCCGGCTTGCCAGGAAATGCCGTCATCTACAACTCATTGATCAAGTTGTACACGAGAGTTGGCTACTTGAAGGAAGCGGAGGAGACGTACAAGCTGCTGTTGTCATCCGATGCAGGTCCCGACGTGTACTGCTCGAACTGCATGATCGATCTCTACTGCGAACAGTCAATGGCCAAACAGGCGGAAGAAATCTTTAGGAGGATGAAGCGAAATGGGGAAGCGAACGAGTTCGCCTACGCAATGATGCTGTGCATGTACAAAAGGCTCGGGAGGTTCCAGGAAGCGAGCCGGGTTGCTCGAGAGATGAGGACCCTCGGGCTCCTGAGCAACTTGTTGAGCTACAACAGCGTGATTGGTTTGTACTCGTTGGACGGAAGGTTCAACGATGCTGTGGCGACGTTTAAGGAGATGTTGGATGATGGTGGAGTTCTGCCGGATGATTACACGTTCAAATCGTTAGGGCTTGTGTTGGTGAAATGTGGGATCTCGAAGCGGGCTGTTGCGAGACTTGAAGCTGGGTTGAAGAAGGATTACCAGAGTGGTTTGCAGGCTTGGTTGATTGCTCTTTGTACTATTGTAGATGTAGAAGTTGACTGTGAAGAAGATGGCGGCCATTGAAGTTGAAGCACTGTATGTAAATTATGTATAATCTTCAGAACAAAAAATTAGTCAAAACAGAAGCTTTCTTTCATTGATCAAGCCTAGTTTACAGCAAAGAAGGACAAATCACAAACAGAAATCTAATTTACCATTTGCTGTAGTAGGTTACTGAAAGTGAAAAAACAAAAAAGAATCCTTTTTTTGGGTCATTTACAGAACAAAAAAGAAGATCAAAGTTGTATCCCTCCCCCACTCTCCCCCTCCTTTCAATTCCATCCCCCCATCCGTCGGAGCAAACCAGTCCCCGGCCACCGGATTCCGGCCAGTCACCTCACACAGCAGCGCCTGTAAGATCACCATGCCAGTCGAGCACGATGTCTCCAAGTCCATTCTTCAATTCCACCAAATGAACTTCCTCGAACTCTATCCCGCATCCTTTAGCAACTCTGACCTCAGCCACCACCATCTTCTCTGCAATTTCCATGGCTTCAAAGAGCAAAACCAGCTTCCCTTTCGCCAGCCCAATTGCTCCTCCTTTCCCTTCTTCCACTCTGTAATCAAGCTTTTCCCCAACCTCTTTAACTCTTTCAATCACTCTGCCTAGCCTCTCCGTCGAAGTGAACCGCTTCTCTTTCCTGCAGGTGGCCTCGAACAATCCTGACAGGTCCAAACCAGAGGACATGGAGATGATATCGAAGGCATTGAAGCTCGAGAGCGGGGTCTCGAATTTGCACGATTTCGAGTACTCCGACTCGAACAGGCTTCGTTGTGAAGGCGTTTGGTACTTGTTGAGGAACCAGGGGTGGTTCATCAGCGTTTCTATGCTCATTCTTGTCTGGGGATTTGGGTCGAGCAGTTGGTGGACAATGAATCTGGCCGGCTTGGAAAC